AAAAAAAAAAAAGAAATTTAAATTTATATTTCTATAATATTTAATTGTAAAAATTTTCTATTAATAAGTGTAGGATTATCTTGTAAAAATTTTTAAAAAAAGATTAACATACTATAGATATTTTTATAGTCCATAGTCCAATGTTTAAACAAATCATATTACTAGTACGGTCGACCCCGAATTTTTTGTGGCCTTGGATGACCATGTAATTTTTGATACAAACAACACTTATTACATAATCTCCTTTCTTCAAGCTTTCTCCAACATGGTGTTTCAGTAGTTCTACAATTCGCACATTCTCTATTTTGTTGAGTATTTCTTCTCTTAATCCTAATCTTACCATCAACATCACGATAAGTCGGACGTTGAATTCCATACTTTGTACGATAAATTCCACATGGATTACACAAATGACTTGTTCCATATTTACGCCATGTTGAAGTTTGATCTGTTCCACAATCTGAGCATACTTTAAAATTTTCTTGTTTTTTTCGTAAAGTATTATTATTTGTAATTAGATTGGATTGTTGAGCAACTAATGATGTATTATTGGACGTAAATGAGTCAATAAACCAAAGATTTGTATCAATTTGTGGCGTGGTAGGTGAAACTACATAAACATCATTTGAATGAACTGGTGTAGTTTGAGGTGTATATGAAAGAAAGGATGATCCTGAATGATAGTTTTCGGGTCTAAAATTTAAATTGATAAAAAATTTTATTAAAATAAAAAAATTTGTTCGATAATCATAATTAAATTAATTGTGTGTACCTGTAATTTGCATAAGCATCAAATGACAACGATGGAACGTTTTGTTCGGAATTAATGTTATTAGTGTAAGTATAAGCGGAGAGAGAATACATGTTGGCATCATTTTCAAAATGATACATTTTAAAAATGATATAAAAAAAAAATTCTTGGTAAAAAAAAAAAGTTTTTTAATCAGAACGTTGCAAAAAAAAAAAAATTAATCAATGGATAATTTCACGTTCTTCAAAGAATTTTGATGAAATTATAAATCTCGCATTTTTGATTAAAAGAACAAAACTTACTTATATAATACTTTTTATTTTCATTATTGTAATCTCTTTAATATCTAACCTTTATTTTCTGCACATCAACAATTATCGCTACTCAAATTCTTCACGTCTATTGAATCGTTAATTTTTTCTTTTCGCTCCTGCGTTCTACGGCATTATCGTAATTTATATAGAATTAATATATAATTTATATTACGTATAATCTATATAAATTATATTTGATGTTATATTTTAAAGTTATGCACTACAATAAATGTTATTCAATATTTCGTAATTTATATTCTCAAAAAAAATTTTTA